AAAAAAAAAACAATAATTGCATTTTTTATTTCAATAACGCATGAGTAAACAGGGATATGAACGCAGATTTAATATAGGCCGATAGAATTACGAGGACCGGCAAGGATTTGGAAAGTCTGAATACAAGTCTTGCTTACGCCTAACAAGTGCTGAAATGGGACATAACCAGAGGTAGAAAGGTCTCGGAAGCACTTGGGAAGAGGCTTCCCAGGACCTATCCAGTTCTGAACGGAAAGACCTAAGTAGAACTTGTCAGGTCCAATTATTCGACTCGGGAATTTGTTGGGAAATCAGTTTAGTTCAAGCACGTTCGTTGACTCATGTGCGAGAATTCCTGAGACTCAGAATCCGAGCTCGCTTCCTAGTTGGTTGAAATGTTGAGACCGAAACAAAGTCTTGGTCGTAGAAGTACTTTAGTCCAAGTAGCCTCGCTCGTTAAGTATTGGGAGGATCTTTTCCATCACTTCTTTCGCGTGTGGATATTTCAGAGGATTCACTCCGATCTCCCCGGCATTTTGTATCATGTCGTCGATAGGCTTAACGTCCTCTTCCTCTGCTAACATTTTTGGCCAAAAAACGAGAGCCGCCAGGAGTACAAATGCTCGACGTTTGTGCATGGATTTTTTCAACTGTCGTATGGTGGGGGGATCCTTAAAGAATCCCAACTTCTTCATTGCGCTCGTCAAACGAGTCAAGTATTTTTCCAGAAAGACGTCATCGTTCGTCATCTTTAGATTTCGCTCAGGGGTGATACTGAGGAAGTACAGAAGGTCGATAGCGGGACTCGTCCAGACGGGAAGCTGATAGTCAATCTGAGGGGAAAAAATGAATGGAAATCTCATTATAGATTTTTGTACAAGTTTTTGTGAGATACTTACAAAGCGAACCTCTTCCGGTTGTCCATTCTCATCATCACGGATCATAATGTTGTTAATCCACATGTCTCCATGATTCAAAACTCTCAGTTCGTCCTCGTCGCATTGATAAATTTCTTTAAGCTTTTGGCTTAAATCCTTCGACCTTTTCCGAAGTTTCTCCGCTATCAAAACGAATTGCTTATCTGGCCAGGCAGAAACTTGATCGGCAATAATCTCTACTCCTTTTGATAGATAACTGAAGAAATTTTGGGAGGTAATATCGTTGATCAGTCCATTTCTGAAGCGGGATACAAACTGAGGATCCTTTGCAAATATAAAACAGTTATAAATAAGTTAATGCGAAATATTGCTTGTGAAGATTTGCGAGAGTCGCATTATTCTACACAATCCTTCTGAGACCTCTTTGTCTCTTTCAATGAGTTAATCAGCATATTTTTTTTTTTTTGCTGATTTTTAATAAAAAATAGAGAAACATTCAGGTAATGAAACTTGAACCGAGCAATTTTCAGAGAAAAAACATCTAAAAACACATTGTGTAGGAAAAATACTGTTCTTCCTAAAAAAAAGTGCGAAAAGCTGCGAAATTTGAAATAAAAATGGGCAAAACAAAAGCCCCGATAGTATTGTCGAATTGTCCTTGTGTTCAAATCACATATCCAAACCTTTTAATATTGATCGATAGTTGAATAGGAGTTTACAACATGGCAATCTTAAATGGAGCTTAAGACCAGATTATCCATTAAATTCCTGATTCAGAAGAACAAGGTTTTCTCATATACAACAAATCGATTCTGAATTTTAAATATCGCATTGAATTTAATCTAACTGTTGATTGGATTTCAATTTCTATTGCCACATTGAATTCAGTTTTGAATCTTCTTTGAATATTAAGAGAAAAATATTTTTCATTGAAAACGATCATCAAAATTCCATGTTGAGTAATATTTTGACAGGGTGTCATTAAATATTTCGACAGACTGTACTTTAAAAAATTTATAAGTACAAAGTTACCTGTCATTGTAATAAAATTCTCTTCCTACAAACGTGATTACCTGCTGATCCAACAGAATCGATGCGGCATGGAAATCCGCCATATATTCCAAGACCAGGAAAGCTTGTTCTTCGTTCAATCCCACTTTACGATTTTTGTTTTTGAAGCCACAGGCAACCAGATCCTCCATAACAATAATCTGTGGATCAATTGAAGAGTAATAAACCTTGGGGCCCAGTCTTCTCCCAATAAGCTCTTCAATTCTCGGGACAACCTCCTCCAACATTACTCGCTCAGTATTAAAAATATTCGTTTTACGAATAAGTTCCAAAGTCTCTGGGCTGACATTCGGCTCTTCCTTTATAATTAGATGGACTACCCTGTCCACTTTTTCACCAGAATGTCCTTTTGGCACATTGCACCTGTATTTCAGTGTAAATCTTGTCAATTCACTCAAGTAATTTTCTCCTTTATTAACCGCTGGCTTTTTTTCTACAAGCATTACATCCTGAATCGTTTGATCTTGCAGTCCCCGATGCAAAATCTTCTGGAAGAAAACGTCACCGGAAGCAAGAGTGGCCAGAGTCATTTTGCTTCGATAAAACCAAAAACACGAGACCAAGAACTTTAATCACTAATTCGATAATCACAACTTTCTGTAGCTGCACTTAGTTGAATGCACGGTTTGCTAACGAAGACACATTGCCATCGGTTCAACAATCTCCCAAAAACTTGGTGAGCAGGAAAAATAGTTGAAGTCAATTGATGCAGAGCCGCGAAGGATCTGTTTTCCTTTTTATACTAATGTCAGTGTTTGTATAACATTCATTCCCCACTCCTCACTCAAGGCTAAATCATTGTTCAAATAAAGTGGAGGATATCAATACCCAGCAGTTATGATAATTCATCAGTAGGTCTATCATTACTAGACGCGGCTGTCATCATTCCATGGTTATATAATTTATCGCTTTTGCACTGTCATGATTGCGATGATGATGGGTAACGGAGGGACAAGTTGAATAAAAAGTACCAGAAACTCGGGGCAAATTTTAGTGTACGAAAGGTAATCGCGGAGCGAAATTCTAGTTCAATAAAAAATAACTGTTGCGGAAGATATCTTACTATTCGTTCGATATAAAAACACATCTACGAATTCAAAAATTACTGTTCCCTGTACAGCAAAATTTCCCAAACGGAGGCATTCTCTGTCACAGAAAAATTCCTCCACATATGCGAATGATTACGTAATATTAACGAATCATTCACATTCATGGGATATTTTATCTTATTTTTAACGTGATTTCCAAGGGGTTTGCGACTGACCATCGTCCAAAGGCCTTCAGCGTGGTATTTACAGAGATATTTAGTCGAATGTTATTATAATATACAGTTTGTAATAAAGATCAAAATACAGATAAAGAGGTAAATAGAGATTTATTGTTACATTGGAAAATGTGGGATGCGAGTGAGATAATTTGAAGGGTTTGATGAGAATAAAGAAACAAAGTACAGAACTATTGTTGTTTTTACACACTGTTAACAATTTTCGTCTGAATTTTCCGTGCCAAATTCCGGAAATTTTTATCGTGTTCAAGTTCCACTGAAATTACGGGAAATCTTGTCAGTGAAAAATCAAATATTCCATTGATTTTCTACTCAAATGATCTGGAAATCAATAAAATCCTTGATTCCTTAGTTCAATTATTCTGTGGAAATCTAGAAAAATCTGGAAAATTTAGGGAAAATTGAGAAGTCATGTAATTTTGTTGATGAATATTCATGTTCCACTGAAAATTCAATCAAGTTGTAAAATTTCTCTCACTACCACTAAAAACTCATGAAACTCCGTGAATTCTACTGAAACTTGAAATTTCATAATTATTTTTTCCCTGAATTTGATTCAATGTGACTCTCATGAGATTTACTATAATATCTTCCATGAAATTTCAAAAAATTTCTAACAGTGCGAAGTCCTACTATTGGAGGGGTGCTATTGTTTCCGTAGCCCCCAGCCATTGTTTCCGTACGTTTCTATGCGAATGGCTTTAAGATTCTCTAGGAGCGTTTGCCGGGGGTACTTATATCGCACCTTGGCGTTGCACAGCAAAAACGAATATCTGCATTTCACGATTACATGACTTTTTTTCGTAATTGTTATCCAAATTTTTTTCTCCGTATCCCTGACTCCATCATGTGATTGTAAAATTTGTATGGAAGGGCATTTCACTGTCATTTTTGTAGTTTCAATAAAGTTAAGTATCGCAAATTTGAGACAGAAATCTGACTATTTGAACTATCCAAATGGAGTAGTACTGATGAGCTGGGATGATGATGGTTGAATAAAATACATGGCATTAAGGTCTAACGTTTTTTGTTGATTTCTTTTTTTGTGAAGTAGGAGTTTAATATTCTCTAGTTGGGTCTCAGTCTTAGGTACACGTGTAGGCCTTGTACTTTGAACTTTAAGACTGGCTAGTACTCCAACTATGACCTTCACCCTTGCGTTCATCGTAGCTTGATCAATGCTGTTCCCACAAGACTTATTGAGCGAGAGTGGGAAGCGGAAGTGAACAATTACCATTTTCGAAATTTGAAACTCCTTTCCATAACGCATGAAAAAACCTGGCGAATTCGCCAGAAAATTTTATGGGAATTCTGTAGGAATTCTATGAGGTTACTATAGAATTTCAATTGGAATTCTATTGAAAAAGTCCACTTGTTTTTGCGCTGATGCTGTTGCATATTTAATGGGCAAAGGTCGATATATTTTGAATTTCTGTTCGAATTTTTCTCTTGAGATTTTTTTTATTAGAATTATTAAGCACAAATTTGCTAAGTTTTTTTCGCTGGATTGTGTTTTGTTTTGCATTACAGAATCCGAGTGGAAAAAACTTGGAAATTTGGAATTTTGAAGCACTAGTATTACTACTGAAAATTAAACGCGACAAAAATTTCCGGGATTTGGCGCGGAAAATTCAAATGAAAATTTTTAACAGTGTAGAAATTCAGTGTTTCATTACTGATCGAAAATTGATCAATATGCGCCTAATTTAATTTTCCCATCGGGGGGATGAATTCGTCATGTGAAATTGCCAAGCATCCTCATTTTCTCAATGTTTGAAGGAAGATCATTCAGTCCAAGTAACCCCGCTCATCCAACAGAGGGAGAATTCTTTCCATCACTTCTCGGACGATTGGATATTTCAGATTATCCACTGCGCATTTACCTTTCTCCAAGATAGTATCCATCGCCTCAAAATCTTCTTCCTCTACTAATGTTTTCGGCCAAAAACCGAGGCCCCCCATAACCGCGAAGGCTCGACGTTTGTACATCGACACTTTCAGTTGTTGCAGGGTGGGAGGACTTGCGGAACAATTCAATTTTTTCATCGTGCTTGATAATCGCGTCAAATATTTTTGTAAAAATATATCATCATAAGTAACTTTGAGATTTGGCCGAGGGGAAATGCTGAGGAAATAGAGGAGATCAATTGCAGGGCTCGTCCAGTTGGGCACTTGGAAGTCAACCTGAAAAAAAGGAATAAATTGAAAGACTTACAAAATGTGTTAAAAATTTTCGTCTGAATTTCCCGTGCCAAATTCCGGAAATTTTTATCGTGTTCAAGTTCTGAAATTTCCGGAAATCTTGTCATTGAAAAACCAAATATTCCATTGATTTTCTGTTCAAATGATCTGAAAATCAATAAAATACTTGATTTTTAAGTTCAATTATTCTGTGGAAATTCAGAGAAATCAGAAAAATTCAGGGAAAAATTGAAAATTCATGTCATTTTGTTTATGATTACTCATGTTCCACTGAAAATTCAATCAAGTTGTGAAATTTCCATTTTATCACGTATGAAAAAATCGTATAGAAATTTTCTATATGTACTACGTATAGAATTTCTATAGGATTGTCGTATATGATATTCGGATATTTCTATACGGATATTTTTTATACAAATTATTTCTATACGATTTCTATAGATTTGATCGTATACGACCCACTGCCACATGTATAGAAACATTTCGTATGGAGTTGCGACATTTCTCTACGTTTTTCTGTGGAGCGTTTACACATCTTTCGTATGAAAGCAAAAATTTATGCAAAAATTTATGTATAGAAAATATTCGTATAGAAATATCCGAATATCATATACGGAAATCCTATAGAATTTCTATACGCGATCCATATAGAAAATTTCTATACGATTTTTTCATACGTGCACTCGCACTAAAAACTCATAAATTACCGTGAATTCTACTTGAAACTTGAAACTTCATAACCATATTTTTTCCCTACATCCGATTCAATGTCAGTCTCATGACATTTACTATATCTTCCATGAAATTTCAAATAATTTCCCACAGTGTACGGACCCATCGCTCCAATTAGTCTTGAAGTACTCACAAAACGAACGGCTTCGGGTGTCCCATTCTCGTCATCTCGGATCATTATGTTATTACCCCACATATCGCCATGATTGAGAACTCTGAACTCATCTTCGTCGCATTGATAAGCTGTCGTAACCCTTTGAATTATATCTTTCGATCTCTCCAGAAGCTTCTCCGATATCGGAATGAATTCTTCGCCTAACCAAGTGCGAACACTTTCCGCAAATGATACCAAACAGCTCCTTATGTAATTGAAAAATGTTTCTTGTGGTTGGAGGCCGAAATATCCATTTGTAAACACGGATACGAACTGAGAATTCTGAAATAATGTTGAAAATAATTTACAAAATAACTCGAACGAGTGTGTCACTGTCAATGGCTACATATAGTCATGGTTATTGATTATGCCACAATTGAACGAGTTATTCTGTCAACTGATCAGCCTCGTCTGAACAATCTTTCAATTTCCTTCAATCACCTAACCGCATCTATCAAGAAAACTTCTGTGGCGAGGGATTTTCTGATCCCTGAAATTTATTTTGACCGTGCAGCCTTCATTTCTCTGGCAGAAGATGAGAAAAGGCCAGGAATAGGCCCAGGATGACCCGGTACTGGCCAACATTGGGCCACCCTCGCTCATTCTTGGCCCATTCTTCATCTCCAGTGGCTGCGGTTTTTCTCCCCGTTAAAAAATCCTTGTAAATTATTTTCCCGTTAATTTTTTTTCGGCAATTTTCCCTTCAATTGTTCCCTTGGAAATTTTTTCCCCTCACTAATCTTTCCCATGTCGAATTTTCCCCAGAGTTTTTTTCCCCGTTAAAAAATTCCGGGAAATTTTTCCTCGGCGAATTCTTGCCTTTGAAACTAATTTTTCAAAATTATTTTTTATATCTGTTCACCTGCTCATTCAATAGAACGGATGCTGCATGAAAATCCGCGAGATATTCCAAAACCATGAGAATTTCTTGTTCATTAAATCCCAGTCTACGATCTTTGGTCCTGAAGCCAAGAGCGACCAAGTCCTCCATAACGATAATTGGTGGCTCAATTGAAGTATAATATACTCTGGGGGCCAACTTCCTCCCAACGAGCTCCTCCATCCTCGGAACAACTTCCTTCAGCATCGTGCTCTCAGTATCAAAGAGCTCAGATTCCCGTATGAATTTTAAAACACACTGATTGGCATCTGGCTCTTCTTTCATAATGAGATGAGCCATCTTCTTAACTTGCTCATCGTGATGCCCTTCTCGCGCCTTGCAGGTGTATTCCAGAGTGAATCTAGTTAAGTTACTCAGGTAATTATCCCCTTTCTTCACTGCTGGTTTCTTCTCCACTAGTACAACATTCTGAATTGTTTCGTCCTGCTGCTCCTGATGCAAAATCTTCTGGAGCAAGATGTTGCTGGTTTCAAGATTCTCTAGAGCCATCGCGCGCTTTGATTGAGACTATAACCACAACTATTGTTATTGATTATTCACAAATGTTCTAAATTTATTCACGCGTTTGTCACTCTATCCTTTTGTCTCCCCGAAAGTTTGACCCAATTTTCTGATTCGACCGAGAGCAGAACACATGAGATTTGTGAATATCAGTATTTATTGAGTTACCCCCACTCTAGGCTGAATGATTATTTGAGTTTATAATGAGGGAAAGGGAATTCGGCAAGAGGGTATATCGAAGAATGCACTGTTAGATTAGATTAGATTAAAAGCAATTTATTATCTCCCGGAGATACATAAATCCCCCAAGGGAAAACCAAAATATAACATAATTATTATAAATGAATCTTATGAATTTTTCACATTATTATTGTTTTGTTTTCGTTTTATTTTCCATTGTTGTTCAGTTCTCATTCTTTTTTTTTCTTTTTTTTTATATATATAACAGTCCCATAGTAGCCATCACATATCTTCAGTATAATTATCATTATTATTTCCATTAACACATTCGTAAGGCGAGACAATTCGCAGATAAGAAACGATTATAATTAAGTTGAAAATACCAGTCATTTGGGCACACATTCGACCACGTTTAGACTAATCAACAGCTTCGCCAGTCTTCAATCAAGGGCATTGAATTACATTTCTTTGTTCATTTAATTAAAAATCCAAAAAGGCCATGCTGAATGAGTGAATGGTACACTGTTAGAAAACAAATGAAATTTCATGGACAGTTGAATGCGATTTAGGGGAAAAAAATCATGAAATTTCAGGTTTCAATAAAAATTCAGTAAAATTCCAGAATTTTAAGCAGCATAAAGACGAGAATTTCTTAATTTATTTGAATTTTCAATCTAATGTGAATATTCAGTACTAAATTATATGGAATTTTTAGTGAAATCTGAAATTTCATGATTTTTTTCCCCTAAATAGCAGTGTCACTGTCCTGAAAATTCAAGAATATGATTACGGAAATTTTCTGGTTTTCTATTCATTTTCAGGGGAAAATGCAACTGAAATTTACAATTCCCTTTTGATTTGTCCACGAAATTCTGAATTTTCAATGACGAATTTTCATTTCCTTGAAATTTCAGTGGTAATTAAATTCGATAAAAATTTCCGAAAAGTTTACCGGAAATTTCAGACAAAATTTTTCAACAGTGTAGCCATTTTTCTAATTGTTAATGGCAAAGAGTTCCACAGTTTTGCAGCAGCGACAGAAAAATAGGCACAACCGTAATTTGAACGAGTATTCAGAATATTTAGATCAAGATGAGTAATTCTATTACGTCTTATGTTATTGAAGATATTATAAATGCAGTTGACAGTTGTACGCGTATAGAAAAATCTACAAAAAAAATCTTAGGAAATTGTATTAATTCTTTACTTGTTTCTGTACAAAATCCCGTGGAAGAATTCGATGGAGATATGTTCGGAATAACATATGCGTAATCTTATATTAATTATTGATGTGCATTGTGCATTCGTTTTGTGTTGATGGAAAATGGATGTCTGTTGGTAAAAGTCGCACTAAATGCTGCAGTTATTCGATGAATTACTATATACTTATATTCTAGTATTTCAGAAAGGATTTTTGTATTTGTGTGTACGATTTTATAGTGTGTGAAGGCTCACAGCATTAATGCGTTAATTAAAGAGTTCATATACTCGTCCAACCTCTGTTTGACGATAAATCCTGTGATAAACAATTAATAAGGAGGGAGCACGTAAATTCTCGGATGTTTTTGTGAGCTGGGAGATAAAACAGATGAGGAATTACGCAAAAATGTAAGATATTTCGGTAATTAGATATTAACGAACTCTAGGGACCATGGGATCAAAGTGTGATCGTGATTGCATTGAAGTTTCAAGTTCAGAGGCTGGTTTAGGCTGAAAACAATAGGCTACGCATACACGAAAAACGGGTACGCAACAAATAGATTTTATAAAATAAAGAATCATGAATAGTCAGCGTCATTCAAATTACATTATGCAAAAAACTATTTTTTTAACTTATTTTTTTAGGCATGAAATCGTTTTCTATGAATTTTTGAGTAGGAATAAATGTGTTACAATTCTCCACAAATGAGTTTTATGGTAGAAAATTGATTGTCCATAAACTATACATAGAAAATGCTCGCAGTTTAAAAAAAATGTAATTTTTCAAATTATTTCTTCAATCTCCCTCCAAAAGTGAATTTTCTAATTTTTTTCCACATCTTCAAAATATTTTCTAACGGTTCAATATCGACATTCAAATTCAGACCTACCCTAGTAAAAATGGTGAGAGGCTCTGCGACCCTATGTGACGCTGATGCGGTGAGCTCCCATTTTTTCATTTTATCGATAACAATAATCATCAATTAGTTGCGAGAGATTATTATTCACTAACAAATCGTTAATCCTTCAATAATTGATTTGAATTAATACGCATAATCTGAAGATTGTGAATTCTTAATTGACGGGATTTGAGGCTAGTGCGGCCACAGATAGGTCCATCCCATATAAACCCCGCGCAGCGCTGTCTCAGCGATCCTATTGCGCACCTTTCTGAGGAACATCGCCGCGAAAGGCAATGTCGCGCGCCAACTTACGCCGCGACGTTTCTGCGCAACGAAATTTCTACTAGGGTACAAAGTTTAAATACTAGAATCATTGTAAAATGTCCGGAAACTTAGGTTCAAAGGGGCAAAGGAAAGCTCAAAGGAAAGCTCTCGTGTTCGAGTGCAGAAGGAGAAAAGCATTTCACTAGATAGAAAATAGCCAAATAATAGAATACTTGGACATCCTTGAATGAAATCGTCCCTTTCGCAACGTTACCGAAAAATCGCTAAACGCGCCCGGGCAGTGTAGAGTGAATTCGGCGACGCTGGAGCCTAAATAACACCATAACACGGCGCCACAGATAGGATAGACGGAGCCTAAATAACCCGCCGAGGTGACCAAGTCATCGGGTCGCGCCGGTGACCAACTAGGGTTGATAGTCCATCACCTACCACTTCGAGATTCACAACTCGAGAATAAATAACAAAAATTTGGAATCTACCGCATTCTCCAATACAGAAAGAAATGTATCAATCATTTTCTAGAGACAGTGGCATATCACATAGTACCCCTCATGTAATTCACAACTGTCAGTAAAATTGGTAATTCTCACAATCTGGAAGAAACAATTCAATCTAGAATTTCAAAGTATGTTTCCGAATCAATATCAGTCCAAATAGCCTCTGTCATTCCAGATCGGTAGCATTTTTTCCATCACAGCTTTGGTTCTCGGATTCTGCAGAATATCTGTGTCATGTTGTTCTTTGTGAAATATATCCATCAATTTCTCAACTTCGTTCTCATCCGCTATCATTACTGAGAAGAAGACGATACCAGTTATGAGCGACAGAATTCGTCGTTTATACAGAGATTCCTTCAATTGTTCCATGGTGGGAGGTTCTGATGTGCAACCTATGCGTTTCATTGTGCTTGACAAACGAGTCAAATATGTTTCCAATAACATATCATCTTGCGTTCCTTTTAAACTCAATTCAGGACCATTGGCAAGAAAATAGCTGAGGTCAATTGCAGGAGACGACCAGATAGAAAATTGATAATCAATCTGAAACGAGAAGGTTAAGGATGTACAATCATGCGGAGTGCAGCGTGCGATAAAATTGACTTATCGCACGACTTGATGTAAGAGCCTTAAAATATAGAATTTAAATACTAATCATTCCTAAATTGGCCTCAACATTGCACACGTAAAGAAAGAAGGATGTCTCCCACATACTCTGAATTCACGTAAGGATGACTTACAAGTCGAAGCTCTTGGAGTTTTCCACCGTCATCGTACTGGAACATGATATTATTAGACCACAGATCTCCATGATTCAGGACGCAAATTTCGTCCTCATTACTTCTATATATTTCCTTAAGTCTTTTTACTGCATCCTTCGAGATCTTCTCAAGCTTCTCCGAGAGAGGAAGGAATTTCGGGTCTGGCCAGGTGCGAATTTGCAGTGCAACATTCTTTATAGTGTTTTCTATCCTTTTGTAGAACGACGGCGTCATATTCAGCAGACCGATAGAAAAACGGGTCAGGCATCCAGGATCCTAATGGTATATTTCAATACAATCAGAGTTGGATGATTTGGCCGATTTTTGGCCTGATTTCACGGAGAGAAATATTCAATAAAAATTGCGTATCTTTTCCGTAATTCTAGAGCGAAATGTGGTTGTAGGAAATTTTACGGAACTGTCACGGAATTTTTCCAGAGCGTTCCGTGATTTTTACCTGAATCTCCTGTAAAAAATTACACGGAGAGAAATTTTCTAGAAAAATTCTAGTACGAATACTGGAAAAAATCACAATCCACCGACTGTGAAAAATTCTAGTGCTGTTAAGGTAAAATTTCTTGGTATTTCTGGTGAAATTTCTGGGAATGGAATATTTTTTTTTAATTTATTAATGCCAACGGCCTTTTACATCAATGGAATATTTGATTTTTCAATGACATTTCCTGAAAATCTAGTCGAAGTGCGACGGGTTTTTCACGAAGGTGATAGCCCAAGGCGAAGCCGAGGCCATTCTCATGAGCTGAAAAATCCCGTCGCACATGTGTCTGAGCTATATTTTTTGTCACTGATATTACATTCAACGAGTGCTAAAACGAGCCTTTTTTCGTTGGCAAATACAGTACAAAAACATTTCAGTAACAAAAAGTATAAAATAAAATATCAATTGCCAGCGGAATGATTTTCCGGGATATATAAACTCACCTGTTCATCCAGTCGAATCGATCCTGCGTGAAACTCTGCGATATTTTCCAAAATCAAACAAGTCTGATCTCGGTTCAATCCTGCTTTACGATCTATATTTTTGAAACCAAAAACCGACAGGTCTTCCATGGCTATCATCCGCGGTTTCATTGAACAGTGATAAACTCTAGCGCTTAGTCTTCTGCCAATGAGGGTTTCGACCTTCGGAACAACTTCCTCGAGTAATTGTTGCTCGACATTGAAGATATCCATTTTGTGAATGGTCTCCATAGTTTCCTGATCGACATCGGGCTCTTCTTTCAGTATAAGATTGGCAATTTTTTCTACCTTCTCATGGTCATTACCTCTGGATACACTGCAGACGTATTTAAGATTGAGTCTAGTTAAAATACTGAGATAATTTTCCCCCTTTTTGGTTGCTGGCTCCTGGTTTAATCTCACGACATCCTCAATCGTTTCATCTCGCAATCCCTCTTGTAAAACTTTTCTGAAGAATACATCATTGTGCTCGAGATTGTCCACAGCCGTAGTGCCCTTGAATGATGTACAGGAAATAATTGATTAGTATTCAGTTTCAAACAAATCGCTAATCACTGATGCATGATCAACAATTTTTTTCTATTGGATATGATTCTATTTTTTCACTCATCAGTGGTCAGTAATTTTTTATTGCTGAATCATGCAAGTATCATGCGTCAAGTACCTGTGTACTGGTGAGAAGTACCTCAGTACTTGTCACAAATACTTTTGTTACTTGGGACAAGTAAAAAAATTACTTGTACTGAGTACCTGGCTGATTCTTTTCAAAAGTACCAAATAAACTCAATATTTTTATTTTATTCATTCATATGTATACCCTCTCGGGTCTTTACATTTTGTTCCCATCCCCTTTTATCTGCGTTACCGTGGCCGACTTACTTTTTTCCCAACTGCACCCATTCGGACAAGGATTGCCAGGGAAACCATGGAAACCCTCAGTCGTGCAGCCGGCCGATAATTGCCGGCCGAAAATTCTGAATAGGAATGAATTTGTCATTCATATTCATGAAAATTGCGATTTTTGAATTATATTCATCAATCTTCCTCCAAAAGTAGACCTTCAAGTTTTTTCACATTTTTAACATGCTTCTCAACGGTTCAATGTCGAGACATCAGATAATTACTGTTGACTACAGACGACTCTCACGGGGAGCAAAGAAATTTCCGTATTCACAGAGAAAACAGTGTCTCAAATTAAAACACTTTTATCTCCTTTATTGCCGTTTGTCCAAAAAAGTCTTAAAAAAGCACAGATGAAATTTTGTTGACACCTTTGCGTCTTACAGATATCCAAGTATTTTTACAATTTGGTGCAGACCATACTAAATTCTACCATTTTGAATCATCAAATTTGTCATTTAAATTGCCTGAGAAAAATTTGTTAAAAATCATGCATATTCAGCGTCATTCAAATTACTTTTTATACAGAATCATTGATTTTTTAAACATTCGTTGTTTATAAATAAATAATTGAAATTGTTTGAACTTTCGAGAGCCTCACGTTCTTAGGCATGAAATCGATTTCTGGCACAATTCTGAATATGAAGAAAGTTGTTACGATTCCAACAAAACAAATGATTTTTATGGTGGAAAATTGATTGTTTATAAATTGCTCATAGACAATGCTCGTACTTTTCGAAAACTGCAATTTTTTAATTATATTCATTAAACTTCCGCCAAAAGTAAACTTTCAATTTTTTTTCAGATTTTTAACATGCTTTTTAACAGCTCAATTCCGAGACATCAGATAATTACAGACGGCTCTCACTGGGAATAGAGAAATTTCCGTATTCACAGAAAAAATTAAAACACTTTTATCACTTTTATCGACGTTTGTCCAAAGAATTCATCTTTACGTCTTAAAAATATCCAAGTATCTTTTACAATTTGATGCAGACCACACTATAGATTTTCAATCATCAAATTTGTCATTTAAATTGCGTGAGAAACATTTGAAAAAAATCATGAATTTTCTGCGTCATTAACATTACTTCTTATACAGAATCATTAGTTTTTTAAACATTCGTTGTTTATAAATAAATAATTGCAATTGTTTAAACTTTTGGAAACCTTACTTTTTCAGGCATGAAATCGATTGCAGGTAAAATTCTGAATATGAATAAATTTGTTACGATTCCGAACAAATGATTTTTATGCTTGTAATTGTCGAAAATTGCAATTTTTTAATTATCTCATCAATTTTTTTCGAAAAGTCAACTTTGAATTTTTTTTCAGATTTTTAAAATGCTTTCTAACGGTTCAATGTCGAATTTCGAATTCAGACCTACAAAGTTTAAATAATAAAATCATTTAAAATGTCCGGAAACTTAGGGTCATATGCGGCTCAAATGAACGCTCTGACGTTCAACTACAAAAGTTGAAAAGCGTTTCACTGGTGAAAAAATAGCCAAAGTACTTGAATATCCTTTATTCCCGAAACTCCCTTTTCGTGTGCTTTTATAATAGTTTTTGAGCTACATACCATTATTATCCTCACGTACTATTGATACGGTTTATGCGTTGAACTCTGAATGTTTGGAAGGCAATTGAGGAAAGAAATTCATTAATACCAACTGACGAGGTTCCAGGCCAACTGGTAAATGTAAATTTTTATCTTGTTGATCAAGTGATGATACGATGAATCGTCTCTGTGTCAATAACCGACTTTAATTTTTAACTGAGTGGAAAAGTAAATACTAAGGTGAATCGAGGAGCATGAATTGACACAAATTGTCCCATTGAAATCTGTTATGATTGTATTAATTTTCATGAGTAGTTACTTTTACAATCAAAACTACTAGTCATCAATCCATAATTGTTCCATTATATTTAAAAGTATATTTTTATTTGAAAAACTTTGATAACCAAAATCTTCTGAATTAATCTGCAGAAGGGATCATATGCCACTCCAGTTCAAGTCCAAGTCCCTCTAACTTTTCAACTTCCGAATTGCTCAAGGTATTTCCCTAGAAACCACGTTTTTCTTAATATTGCCCCCATGGTTTTCATCGATAATGTCCAGTTCCCAGCTACACTGTTAGAAATTTCTTGAAATTTCAGTCACTGCGCCATCTGAATTTTCGGTGTTGAGAAGTTGAATTAAATTTCAAATGAAAGTGTTCACTAAATTTCTCAGTCATCTTGAAAATTCAAAAAAATAGGGTTTTTCATGTTAAATAATCATTGATTTTTCAATGAAAGCTTGACTTTCCGAACTCATCGTGAAAACTGAACATCACATACAATTCAATTTTCCATAGATTGAGAATTCAGAAAAGTTGTTGCCTGAATTGTCAAAATTTTCAACGTTCTTCAGTGCCGTATGGACCTGAAAATCAAGAAATACTTGAATATTTAAGAAATAATTCGTCAATGATGACATGTACACAAATGTAACTTTGTTGTTGTTAAAAATTTGAAGCTTTTTCACTTGAAATTTCAAGAATAATTTTCTAACAGTGTTTTGAAATAGTATGTTTCGTCATTAGGCCGAAAACGACTTTTTTGAAGAATATGAGTTTGCAGCCCGAGCCGAAAGTGAGGGTTGCAATCATATGAGCTGGAAAAGTTTTTTTAGGCCGTATGTCGAATGATATTTTCGGCATTCCGCCCAGCGATTACAGCCGGAATGACGAAAAAAATACTAACTAGTTGTACTACTGAAATGCGGGCCTCTAACACGCGAGGCATAGACCAAACGGGAGTTATGGGTCCCCCGAACTCGATTTTTCCATCTTATGAGAAAACGGTTCTGATGATGTTCTTGAAAAACTAATTCGTGATAGATCGATAAATTCCGAATGCGGTGAATTTTTTGTTAAATTTTGTAATACATAGTTTCTCCGATATTCAACTCTAAAAAATGGAAATTTCGTGGAAGCATTCTTTATTTGATTCAGAAATTAATTAAAAAATAATTTCTTAGTTGATTCAAACAGTTATTGTTGCCTGCATCAACAACACATGAGAATAGAAAAATTCAATAATTTATGAGAATGCAATAAGTTAAGTTATTTAGACTTTTTACCGGAAATCCACAGGGACTAACTTTTGGGTCCGATTGTCTCGCGAAATACCTTAATCAAGAAATCCCCAGTAAGTTTCTTTAACTGAGGGTTCCATTTGTCCATCACTGGGGGTGAATGGGTAGTAAATTACATCCCTCTCTCTTACTCAAATATTTAATTATTCAGAAGTAATTGTTACAAAGTATTTTCTATAATAATTTTCGACACGCGCACAGCATAGATCAGCTGGCTTAATATTAGGACAGGGTGGGGCAAAACGGCCCCCCTTCAATTGTCAATAACTTGTGAATGACATTGTGAAAATTCCCAGTTTCAACTTCATTTTGAAGATAATTTTTCATTCTTCAAAACGAGCTCTAACTCATCCCAATCGGATTATTGAATCGGAAAATATTGACGATTGAAGGGGGGCCGTTTTGCCCCATCCTCCCCTACTAATTCTATGCATATAACTTTTAGCATTTTTTTCTGAGAGAATTATGTGTATTCTAGGATATCAATTAAATTCTCCAATCAACCAATCCATCTCGGCGGAGAGAGTATAGATTATAAAGAAAGAAAAAATCCCAGGAAAAATAACGCGACAACTTACGTATTTAATTATATGACAGAATGCATATCTCGATAATTCTTATAAAAACACGCGGAAAAATGTGTGGTAACGGATGAATATTCCCTTTAATTCAGCAAATTTCCTGGAACTGAAATCGAGATTGAAATTCAATTTTAATTGAAGAACTAAAATTTGTGTCTTATTTTTCCATCTACTACTAGTAAATTGTTATGTTAGTCCATTACGTAATTTCTGCATTGACCTTGTACGGGGCATAAGCAGGAAAATCACGTTTTGGTTCACAATGTTTCCGTGCAAAGAAACCAGGAATCGGCGTTAACCATTACTTTTTGTAACATCATGCAAACTATTAATGAATAATGAGCGTTACATTGTCAATCACAATTGAAAGATATGAGAAAAATTGTTGAGGACTTTTTGACTATAATTCGATGGTGATGGAATATAGTCAGAAGAATCATATTTTTCTCTCAGTGTATATGATTAAAATCCTTCTCATCATTCCACACTCACACCTGTGGTCATCGATTATTCCCACACGTGTTAATGAACTTGGCAAGTGACATCGATTGGATCCCATTCTATTCTCAAAAACTATAAACTCTCTTTTATCGTTAATATAATAACACCAAGTTTTACTACATTCCCTCCAAATTCTGTTCAGGAATTGGGAATTATTGGTAGCTAAAAAGAATAGTCAGACAAATGAATCATTGTCCAGTCACTCATTCGGTTGACATTTGAAAATTTGCAACTGTGCATTGGATATAAAAATATCTGAGATTCATCCAGACGATCAGTCCAAATATCCTCTCTCATCCCATATCGGTAGCATCTTCTCCACTACCGCTTTAACCCTTCTGTTCTGCATAATATCAATCTTATCTTTTTCCGTATAGAATATATCTTCTATTGTCTCCATTTCACCTCCTTCTGCTGTCATTTTCGGAAAGAACCAGACACCGCATAAAAGTGGAAAAATTCTACGTTTGTGCAGAGATTTTTTTAAGTGGTCCATCGTGGGAGGTTTAGAAGTGCAACCGATTTTTTTCATTGTGTTTGATAAGCGGGTGAGATATGTTTCCAAAAATAGATCATCATTCGTTCCTTTCAGACTGGGTTCAGGGGCAGCGTTGAGGAAGTAGCAGAGGTCAATTATTGGGGATGACCAGACAACAAATTGGTAGTCAAGCTGAAAATGATTGAATACATGTATTTGTTTACTCATTCCATAATTACTTCATAATTTTTAGAATGGCGCGATGATTACGCACAAGTCTAACATCCTTGAGTTTGCCCTTTTCGTCGTTCTGGAACATAATATTATTAATCCACAAATCTCCATGATTCAGAACACAGAATTCGTCGTTGTCATACATGCAGACTTCCTTCACCCTTTCGATTACATGGTGAGAAATTTTCTCAAGTTTTTTAGATATCTGGGTGAATTTTTTATCAGGCCAGCTGCCAATTTGCTTTGCAGCATTAGCCACTGTCGTCTGCATTGTTTTAAAAAACATAGGTGGCATGTCTGGATTCACAAGTCCCCGGGTATATTGTTTTAGGGATCCAGGATTCTAATGAAACGTAGAGGAATAAGAATGAATTAGTATCAAAGTGTTAAGCCGGTTCCGGCAATTCCTTTCTCAAACAATTTACGGTAAATGTCTGTGGGGCTAAGGGAGATTTTGGAAATTCCTCCATCTCATTTTTCCCAATAAAACAGGTCCTCTTTTCCTGAGCTAGCACTAGAATTTTTCTAAACAATTTCTCTCGGTGAAGGTTAATATAAGATACTAACTTGATAATTGTGATGCTTTGTAATGATAATTGCGATGCGCTATAGAAAATATTTCTGATTTTCATAGGCAGTGTCAAAGAAAATGGTGATCATTCATTCTTATGATTCATTCTTCTGAGTTCAAAGGAAATATCCAATTGAACCGGTGAATTTCTTTTCGTTATTGACTCACCTTTTCATTCATCAAAACAGATCCCGCATGAAAGTCTGCCAAGCTTTCCAAAACCATCAAACATTGCTCTTGATTCAGTCCCAATATCCTACTTGAGTTTTTGAAACCTTGAACTGTCATATCCTCCATAACAATAACCTGGGGCTCAATCGAAGAGTAATAAACTTTGGGTGCCAGTCTTCTATCCACAAGCTCCTCGATCTTCGGAATGACCTCTTCAAGGAGCTGTCGCTCGGTATTGAAGACCTCCATTTCGCGAATATTCTCCAATGCTTTTTCATTTACAATTGGCTCTTCTTTCAAGATAAGATGAGCCGTCTTCTCTATTTTTTCATGATTATTTTCTTTTGACACATTGCAGACGTATTTCAGGGTCAATTTTGTTAAACAACTCAGGAAATTTTCGCCTTTCTGTGTAGCTAACTCCTTCTTTACCAGTACAACATTATGAATTGTCTTGTCTTGCAATCCTCGGTGCAAAATTTTTTCGAAAAAAACGTCTGTGGGTTCGAGGTTTTCTAGAGCCATGACTTGCTGGAATCGGAATGAACGAGGGAAACAATAATTAGTGGTGATCGAACCGTGCAGGTAGTTCAAACTCGAATGTTAAATGATTGTTAATTGTGCACTTATCCCTGGAACGAGAGGTTTTATAGCTGATAAGATTTGGCATTAAAAATGATTTGTGAGAAAAGCGGAAAGTTGAGACGACAAACTGTTACGAATGTGATAGCCTATTCCGCTTTAAGTTCTAATTATCATCATTAGCAAATAGGCAGATAGAGAATCCACCAGTAAAGAGAGGAAAACCTTTTAAAAATTACCGCTGAATGTTAGTTATTGTGTAGGCTATTTTTAGAAATTTTTGACTGAAACTGTGTCAAACAATTCCTTAAGGTTTAATACGCTTGGGGGGTAGTTTTTAAGAGTTCTTTTCATCACTTGTGCGTAAAGTGGAAATTTAAAAATCATATTTTCCACACATTGTGATGAAAAATGAGGTTCGCCACTCGTGGGAAAAGTGTTCTTTCACCCTTCAAAGGATAGCACTCGCCTTCGGCGAACGCACTTTTACGCACTCGTATCGAAATATGCTATTTTGTCATTTCAGGCGTAAGGCATCGGTTCACGGTCCGCTGCCCATCCGCGAATCCCCGCCTACAGCCGTCATGACGAAATAGTACACTGAGAAAAAAAATTACTTTTGCCAAATAAATTTACTAAATGCAAGAAAATCCACACATTTCAAATGCAAATATGTATATCCATTTACTTGTGGCAAGTAAATTTACTTGGCAGGAGTAATTTTTTTTCTTAGTGGAGATTGTGTGTTGAGTACTGGCCGAAGCGAAGCCGAGGGCGGTAAATACGCGGGGTTTGATGTCCTATGTTCCTCCCTAGGTGTACACACTATTTTTCGTCATAACTGCACGATATAGTTCGACTTTTATTCGTAAATACAGGGAGGATCGTGGTTATGTCATTCCGAGGATCGTCCAAAACATGTTTAAACACAACCACACTAGTAGGTAAAAATTGAAATTTGATGACCAGTTTACTATCAATTTTCAGAACAAAGACATTAATTTTGATTTAGAAAGAAATAATCATGCAATTTTTAATTTTTCCAAAGGTTCACGGGAATTCCAAATGTCTGGTTTTTCAATTATTTGAAAAGCCAAGAATTTATTCACCTGAATTTTCTCGATTTTCATTAATCTTCGTAAAATAATTGAAATTAAATTTACCTTGAATTTTTCATCAATTTGTCAATTTCCAATGACGAAATTACTTGAAATTTCAGTGGAACTGTCACTTGATTAAAATTTCTCAAAAGTGCACTGGAAATTTCAGCTAAAAATTTTTAACATCGCAATTCAAATGAAATTCCGATACGATTTGTTGATAAAAAATAATTCAAATTTTATTTAATATGCGATGACAAAAATAATAAAAAAAAATCTATGAAAATTCGAATTTTTGTTGCAAATTTTCCCATTCGTTGAATATGGAAAAACTGACCCTAGTTTAATTTGCAGAAATAAAAATAGAAACAATCATGAATAATTTGATCGTTAATTCAGTAGCGAAGCGGTAAACCGGGTTTTCTCTATTTTGACGATTGACCAGTTTTTGACGAATATCTCGGAACCTAAAAGAGATAGAAAAATGTTTGTCATGACCTTTTTTGTAGAGCCAATTGGGGGTTATAAAAAAGGTTATGAGAGAAATTTTGCTGTCTCTTAGATTCCAAGATATTCATCAAAAATTGGCCAAAAGTCAAAATCGACTTAACCCGATTTACCGCTTCGCTACTGAATTCAAATTCAAGTTCGAATGTTGAAAATGCGGACGGAACTGTCGAATGAATTTCGATTTCACGAGCATGAAAAATGATGTAACACTAATTAACAAAGTGTCTCCAATGATTGTTGTATCCATACCAAGTTATCCAGTACTCCCCAAATAGATTCAGTCGTTGAGTGCTTGGTAGTTAAATCCACAATGAAACTGAATCGGGTCCATTAGAGGGTTTATATACCATTTCATCTCGCTGTCAATTTTTTTTCCCTAAATTAAGTTAGAACCGGTTGATTGATGCTGATAAGGGGCTTCCGTCTCGTCATCATGCATAAAACTTTGATAACGCGTCTCTGTCAAGTTGGAGGTTTCCAATTGCATAGAACTAAAGCAGTTGCGCAAACCTCAAGTGAATGACTTACGGAAAAGCGGGTGAATTACCTGGATTATAATTCATGCATCGTGGGAATTGAAGGTGATTACATCATTGACATAACAGAGAGCCATGCGCACTATTTTTTTCCGTCAATCAAGAGTTGAAATACGACTTTGAATCATTACGTCATTATAGTTGTCTGCACACGGAGAGAAATATTCAATAAAAATTAAGTATCTTTTCAGTAATTCCGGAGCGCAGTGGTTGTAGGAAATTTTACGGAAGTGTCACGTTTTACGTAAAATCACATAATTTTTCAAAGGCATCACTCACCCAAATGACCGTTCAAATTCATAATTCCCAATAAATGGGACTTTCCAAAAATTAAAAAAACTGTATTTTCCTCAACCGCAATGTTTACGTAAAAAAAATGTTTCTGCTGAAAAAAAAGTGGTCAACCTCAGAAGTGCTAATTTCATTCCGTTTCATCACAGTTTTTTTTCTGGAAAAAGAAATTGTTGGTGGTAAAGAATTTGGTCAAACAAGGTGTAAACCAATAAATATCGAGTTTTAAAAAATTAAGGCTGAAGTTATGATTTACAACGTGGGGCTTTCTGTGGATATGACAATGGGTAAAAAAGGGAAAAAATGGCCTCCATGGGCTCTCTGCGGTAGCCGCCGAAACGATGCTCGGTTTACCGCATGCACACGGGAGTCTTCGTGTCTTGAGAACGAACGAGCGAGAGAGAGGAGGGGCAGTAAAGTTTTATGTTTTCAAAAGCCCAGGTTGCCGCGAGTGCTTTTGTCTGTGACCTCTATAAAATTATATGACCGCACCACGGTCACTTCCTCCTTCCCTTTTTGCCCGTCCACTTTTCACCACTCACGTATTTTTAGGAGACGTTTTGGTGTTTTACTTGAAAAACTGTGCAGTAGCTCGAAAATGATTTATGGCTTGGGCTCTTGGGGGAAAATTAGATACCAGCTCACTTTTTGAGAGTGGGAATTGGGAGAAAAGTATCACATTTCTGATGCTTGATAATTCTGTTTTTGCGACGTTCGATAAAATTACGTACATCAACTCCGGAAGGATTTTTTATACGTATCGGGATACGTATCGCGGTAGCGTATTGGCCAAGGTAAAGTTGTAACTCTGACTGTACAAAACTGGCCGAACGCTGCCCTTTATTATCTATACACGAAGCAACTAGCCCTTTCACTGCCTCCGAATAATATCCATTAAATAAAATGCAAACGTGACAAGCTACATGAAAAATACACGGAGAGAATTTTTTTAGAAAAATTCTAGTGCTAGCATGGGAAAAGAGGCGCAAAGTGACGGCCAGAAAAAAATTCCAGTGCCGGTACTAGAAATTTTATTGGAGAAAACGTGAATTTTTCCCCGTATTTCTGTGAAAATTTTACAGAAATCCTCAGAAATTTTACCAGAAATACCAAGAAATTTTACCTTAACAGCACTAGAATTTTTCACAGCCGGTGGATTGTAATTTTTTCTAGTATCCGTACTAAAAATGTTCTAGAAAATTTCTCTCCGTGTACTGTTAGATACACTGAGAGAAAAATATGATTCTTCTGACTATATTCAAGTCCTCAACAATTTTTCATGGGTTACGGTAACTATAACCGGAGAAGTAATTACTACAATGGAAGGTAGTCATTGCAACTATTTTATAGTTCTACTCACGATAGATTGGTCGTGGTTACTTTTGAACTTTGGTTAGTTTAACTGCATTTTGATTTGCAAAAATTGCACTTGTGAAGTTACTATAATGTTATGTGCCGCATACAAAAAAAAATCGTATCGCTCACCAAAACTGCCTCAACTATTTTCTTATTGTAAATCGAACTTCAGATTTTTCTCTCAGTGTACATTATATAAATCGGCCACAAGCTTCACATTGATGTGATTGTTTTTTTTGTTCGAATCAATATTTGAAAAATTACGCGCATAGCAACGTGTAATGATACTATCATTTATACCGTTGCGCTATCAAATATTTTCTAAAATACCCAAATAAGGCGCCACGGTCAGTCACACCAGGTGCTATAGCCGTGATGTCCTGCGAAAGCTCTCTCGCTACTCGGACGTTGACGAATACAGATCGTATAATTCAGTAGCGAAGCGGTAAACCGGGTTAAGTCGATTTTTACTATTGGCTAGTTTTTGACGAATATCTCGGAATCTAAAAGAGATAGAAAGATTTTTGTCAAGACCTTTTTGGTAGAGCCAATAGAGCGTTATAAAAAAAGTCATGAGAAAAATTTTGCTATCTCTCTTAGATTCCGAGATATTTAGCAAAAACTGGCTAATAGTCAAAATCGACTTAACTCGGTTTACCGCTTCACTACTGAATTTAATTGACAGTAGTTCGAGTAGTCGGAGCCATTTCATTTATCGATTGTCGTATATTTGTAAATTCTAACCAATGTGCACACAAGGTTGTTCGCCTTTCCTAATTATTCCTTGTAAATTTAAAACGCCTAATTGTAATTTTGTATGGATGAATGAATGAAGTTAATTTGAGGTAAGAGATGAATTTTTTCATTTATATCGGAGCAACACGAGAACATGAATTTATATGTGAGGAATGAAATTATTCTCTCTTTATTAGGCATTGAATTCTAACCGTAACTATTCAGACAAAACATTCAATAAAAGAGAGATTTTATTTATATTAATCCTAACATTTTCTTGAGCTATTTATGAAAAATGAAAAATCAAACGGGTTCATATGCACATTCTCGCATTTCACATGATCTATAATTTTTTTGTTACAGAGCCGGTAGCACTGTAATACAACCAGACGCACTAAGAAGGCAGCCCGTGAATTTAGAAATTGAAGTTTGTGCATGAATGATAAATTCCGCAGAAATTTTTCAATTGGGTTCAGTGCATAAATGAATTCTTGAAAGTTATGGGATTGAAATACCGCGGAACTTCCTGTTTCGTGAGCGGAACAAAATAAAAAATAGTTTTTTATACAACTACTTAGCCGGTTTGAAAAAAATTGCAAAATCTCCTTAAAAACAGAAACAAATGTTAATGTCTTCAATAGTCCGCGCAATTGGAATTTCCAGGTCCACATAACAATAAAAATTTGCAGGCAACTATGTCCACCATATAAAGCTACTGATTTCTCATTTCCGTCGTCTCATTTGGGTCCCCAAAAAATAATCATATCCTCGAATTTCTTTCTGCCTTTGATACCTTGAACAATAAAAATATTAACGACGATATGAGAATTTAGCGGCACGCGTAGACATCGCGCCCGCCCGATGCCCCGAAATGGGAAGGGGTAGAGCTTGTGAAAACTGAGAAGAGAGAGCCGTGCGCTTTGCAGGGCAGAGGGCAGCCCCCTGTTGACTCTCACCCCTGGCATCCATCGTCGTCTCTGCAGAGGTTCCACAGGGTATCTTTCAAGTCCCGCTGTGATGAAAAATTTACAAGGCCCACTCTCTAAAACCGATATAAACACGTCGTACGCGTTCCTGAGATGGGAAACCCTGTGGGCAAATGCTTGGTGAGCCACGCGCGACCCTGTGGGGTACGTTTTCACCTCGTGAAATGTCTCGAAGTTATCCAACAACATTCTTCTAATATATCTCTAAAATCTTGGAGTCTGAATCAACATAAAATCTAGAATTTATTTGTTAATTTTATTGTTGTGGAATATGTACTTCAAATGAATAGATCTCCCATTCCCCCCTTTTAGAAGCGTGAATCAAGGAATAAATGAATCGAGCGAAGAATGTGTGTATATTATGTTCTTGTTCCCATTTATTCAATTATAGAATTCGTCTTCTTATTACAATTTAATCCTTAACACCCGGGTGTACTATCTTTCGAATGTTATCTGGATTTTTTTTTATCTTTCGTAATTCAAAATTGTCAATTGAGTGGCACATCATGTAGAAATTCCCAAAAATTATGATAGAATGTTAAAAAAGAATAGAAAAAATTCTGAACTTTTTCAAAAAGCGTTTTTAATTGAAATTCAAAATGAGTTGAAAAAAGTGGAAATTACAATATCTTCTTCGCGGTGGCAAATTATCTATTAGCTGTCATTTTCCATGGGGGATAACAAAAACATCCAAATTTCATTATTTTTTTTCTTGAAACTGAGATCTGAAGAAAATCTGTAAGAATTGTCAATGTCAATTACAATTAGAAATTTCTCCCATGAATTTTCAAATTTTTTTTTCATTATTTTGGCTTTTCAACCGAAACACCGTAAATTTCTCTTACCGGAAATTGAAGTGAAAAATTTTTAACAGTGCACTAGTGAATAGTAAGAAAACACAGCTGCAATATTTATTTCTCGCGTGTCTACAGACACCCAGTTGCCACACAAGCGGGAGAAATGTACAAACAAGGCAAAGTATAGTTTGAAACACGGCAGGCACGCTGTGCCATTGAGTTTAGTATATTGTGCGAAATACATGCGACAAGGAAAAAAAATATTGGGGGGATGTGTGGGATGTTTTATACGCGTACACTTGGGGTGCCCCCATTCGAAATGATCTCGTGTGGTGTGTGACCCCCGGGGGTTAATAACAAATCCGTCACACGGAGTCACCCGCTGGTGCCTTTCATCTCCTCACTTGGTACGTGAAATAAATACAGTGACGTTTATCATTATCATTGTTTGTGTCGATGAAAAAGAGTGTGAAAAAAGGAACATAACGTAACTGAATCAACATAAACTGAGGGGCTGTGAACTGTATGATGATATCACGAAATTTCTACTTCATTTTTAGAAACACTTTGTTCGAATCAGCAAATTAAGAATGAGAACTTATCCACCGTTGAGTAAAGATTATGAAATT